CCAACAAATAGTGTTGGGAAAACTGAACAGTCACATGCAGGAGAATGAAACTGGACCACTTTCCTATACTATACACAAAAATAAATTCAAAATGGTGAAAGACCTAAATGTGAGACAGGAAACCATCAAAATCAGAGGAGAACACAGGCAGTAACCTCTTTGACATTGGCCATAGCAACTTCTTGCTAGATACATATCTTGAGGTAAGAGAAACAAAAGCAAAAATGAACTATTGGGACTTTATCAAGATAAAAAGCTTCTGCACAGCAAAGGAAACAATCAACAAAACTAAAAGGCAATCTACAGAATGGGAGAAGATATTTGCAAATGACATATCTGGTAAAAGGGTTAGTATGCAAACCTATAAAGAACTTATAAAACTCAACAACCAAAAAACAAATAATCCAGTTAAAAAATGGGCAGAAGACATGAATAGATATTTTTCTAAAGAAGAATCCAGATTGCTAACTGACCCATGAAAATATGCTCAACATCACTCATCATCAGAGAAATGCAAATCAAAACTACAAAGAGATACCACCTCACACCAGTCAGAATGGCTAAAATTAACAACACAGGAAACAACAGGTGTTGGCAAGGATGTGGAGAAAAGGGAACCCTCTTGCACTGTTGGTAGAAATGCAAACCGGTACAGCCCCTCTGAAAAACAGTATGGAGGTTCCCCAGGAAATTAAAAATAGGACTAGTCTATGTCCCAGCAATTGCACTACTGTGTATTTACTGAAAAGATACAAAAATACATATTTGAAGGGATACATGCACTCCAATGTTTATAGCAGCATTATCAACAGTAGCCAAATTATGGAAAGAGCCCAAATGCTCCTCAACTGATGAATGGATAAAAAAGAAGTGGTATATTAGCCATAAAAAAGAATGAAATCTTGCCATTTGCAATGAGGTGGATGGAGCTACAGGGCATTATGCTAAGTGAAATAAGTCAGTCAGAGAAAGACAAATGCCATATGATTTCATTCCTATGTGGAATTTAAAAAACAAAACAGATGAACACAGGGGGAAAAAAGAGAGAGGCAAATCAGAAAACAGACTCTTAACTATAGAGAACAAACTGAGGGTTACTGGAGGGGAGGTGGGCTGGTAGGATGGGTTAAATGGGCTCTGGGTATTAAGGAGGGCACCTGTGATGAGCACTGGGTTTTTGTATGGAAGTGATGAATCATTAAATTCTACATCTGAAACTAATATTACACTGTATATTAACTAACTGGAATTTAAATAAAAACCTGAAGAAAAATAAAAGTAACTTATTTCCCACAGAATACTTGGGATTGTGACATATGCCCTGAAATCCAAAAGAAAGGAAAAATAAGATGCTACAACTTGTAAAAATTTGAATTAAGCTTCTGCTTTATTCCTGACTCACAAAATGGTGCCCGTTATATTTGATATTTTGTCCAAATTCAATTTTCCAGTGGTTTCCTAACAGTAATTTTTTCTTTGCATATGGACTATGTCTGAGGAAAGGGAGAGAAACAAATGAATTAATGGGGAAAAAATAGCAGGTAATTATAATTACCTGAAAGCACACACACACCTATGCACCCCCTCCCCATTTCTTAAAAGATTTATTTATTTATTATTTGAGAGAAAGAGAGAGCACGCAGGGTGGGGTGGAGGCGTGGGTACAGAGGGAGAGGGAGAGAATTTCAAGCAGACTCTCATTGAGTGCAGAGCCAACGGGGCTCTATCTCATGACCCTGAGACTGAGATCATGACCTGAGCCAAAACTAAGAGTCAGATGCTCAGCCGACTGAGCCACCCAGGCAGTCCTTTTTTTTCTTTTTTTAAAGAATTGTTTATATATATATAGAGAGAGAGAGAGAGAGAGGAGAGAGAGAAGGTGTGTGAATAGGAGGAGGGGCAGAGGGAGAGGGAGAGAAAATCTCAAGCGTACTCTGCACTGAATGCAGAGCCCTTTACTGGCTAGATCTCATGACCTGAGCTGAAACCAAGAGTCCTACCCCTAACTCATTGTGCCATCCAGGCACCCCGCCCCCTATTTTTAAGGGGGAGTTTCTAAAATAACAAACAGAGGTCCAGGTTGAAAAAGGTGGAGGTAGTTGTATTGCTGGTTTCAGGGCTGCTAGATTGGCCTGGGGGCACAGCTGGGGCGGTCAAGTGGCACCCACAAGGAGGAGGGCTCAGCTCACGTGTGGAAGGCCTTCACCTACTTCTAGTGTTCCTCCGTGTGCAAGTGAGCATGCCGAACATCTTCCTGAAGTTGCACCACGGAGAGCATGAGAGACCCAAGTTCCCTACCCCCATCTCCACATCAGGGCCAGGCCCTTTCCCTGGAGAGATGGTAATCGTACTTTATTCCATAACTCTCACGTGGAGTCACTTCACACCTGGCTATAAAGATGAATAAAGAGAATCTGGACCACTACCCATTGGGGACCACAGCACTGGTTTGGACCATGAAGTGGCACACAGACCAGAAAAGTATACGGGACCTTGAGGTCCCCTTCCTTACTTGTATCAAATGAAACCAGTTTACTGATCTTCCATCCCTTTGCTTTAAGCAGGAGAAAATTAACTGGTCTGGCCAGGGGGTATGGTCTACTATTTCTCCAAAGCAGTGTACCAGAAAAGCAAAGCAGCCTTGAATACATTATCCTCCCTGGTCCCAGGATATAATCGCCAAACACCTCAAAGTGTGAATTATTGAGAAATGCTATCCCACTGTGGTGAGAGACTGGTGGGGGGATGGTTGTGTGGGCATGGAGTAGTCCCTGGTGCTATGGCCCGTCCTTGGCACCAAAAGTAAAGAAAGAGAGAGAGAGAGAAACCATAGTATAAAATCCCATATGGAACCAAAACTCCAGCTGATGCCTATTTATCAGTGCCAGTAGCTGAAGAGTGTGGGTTTTAGTTTTAAACAATTTCCTTTTGGGCTCTGCTACTTTCTTTGTGCCCTGTCCTTTGAGATTCATAAGTTTCTTTCAGTCATTGCTAGTATATGTTTACCTCTCCCTGTGCTTGCTACATAACATTATAAATATATAACATTATAACACTATGTAACAGATTATTATAAATAAGAATTATGGTATATAATTATATATAATGTAAATATATAGATATAAACATATTATAGGTATATAATTATAGGATGCTGGCCAGTCTGACTGGTGCTTCTGGTCACACCTGATCTTCTTCTTGGTGGTTCTGATTAACCACAAGGGCTTTAACAACTTCAAGATTTCTAATTAAGGCACACCAGTGTTCTAGTTTTCTCTCCTTTACTTCCTTACCTGCAGGCATTTCTATTGGATTTCACCCTATTTAACTACTCTCCATTTAACAACCGCTCTGATAGGATGAGAACCTGATCTTGAGTAGGGTGTGTCAGAATGCACGTGAACCAGATACTCTCCTCACCTCCAAGCAGGTTTTTGCTTTTCAATGATTGCCAACCAAAGAAAACTAGAGCACCTGTTTTCTTCTCTTTTTATTATTATTCTCGTAATTCTTAAATCCAAGTGAAATTTAAAAATCCTGAAGTTGGATTTAAGCAAATGATAGTTTATGGATTGAGCATGATTAACTTTCTCTATGAAAGATTCATTTCCTATTGTGGGGTAGAGTAATAGGGATGTGTGTGAAATTTTAGATACGGCCAATTTGAGGCTTTACAGAAAATTGAAATAATATTAGGATAACTGCTAAATGCAAGGGTTAGGCATTGGAGATCTAGATATTTGTTCTACTTTACCCTCTCTCTACCTCTCTCTCATGGACCTTAAATAAGTTGACTCACCTTACTACCCCTAAAAACCTAAATGTATTCTTAAGAAACTCACAAGGTGTGTGTCTGTTACTGTACAATTATTATTCATTATTATTACTAATACCATCACAAAAAATAGTGTGTAACTTCAACCAGCCTGTGCTAAAACATTAGAACATATATCCTTATGCTCTAAAGAGCAAGAAGTTTTTGCTATGAAAATTCTCATGTGCAACCTTTAATCCTCTCAAATAGTTTGATCTTTTTTTCTTTACTAATAAATTTTTCATTAAGTTTCAAATAGAGAATGGTTGGATTGTTTCTCACTTTCAAGATATAGTTTTGGCCTCCCAGACCACTTACAAGCTGAACAAGATATAATATTAGGCCTAGGAAATACTTCAGTTGAAAGCCTTGAGTATCCCTGCTGGATCTTAGCTTGACTTGTGATCCTTAGCAAATCAATGAGTCTCTACCAAGCCAGTTTTTCTCTAAACCTAGTTTGACAATATCTAGTTTATGGAATGGCTGGTAAAATTACAGGTTTGAGCCATTTCATTTTTGAATGCATTATATACATTATTGTGAATATAGTTGCAAATCTACTCCCCATAGAAAGTTTATGTAGTCAATCCTTTACTTAATAAATAGTACCTTTTTTTTTAAAAGAGAGGGGGAGTCTTAAGACGGTTCCATGTGCAGCCCAGGGCTTGATCTCACAACCCTGAGATCATGGACTGAGCTGAAATCAAGAGTCGGATGCTTAACTGACTGAATCATACAGGTGTCCCAATAAGTAGTACCCTATAAATGTGTATGTAGAAAGATAATGGTGGGGAGGGAGAAATGGAAAATGGCTATTTTTTTTTACTATACCATGCAGTGGGGAGGCACAATGAGGAAAATCATAAAATCAAATAACTTAAATTACAATTTCAAATAAAAAAATATTTGCTTGATGTTGCTGGACTTGTCTCTAAAAACATACAAATAAAGAACCAAGAGAGAATAAATACTAAGAATTCTGAGGGAGCTTTTTAGTCCTGGAACTATGACCATTCCATTGCTGCCAAAGTCTTTGATTACAGAAATACATCTGATATACCTTTTGGAATTATTGGATTTGAAATGGCATATTGCTATTATTATTTTTTCCCCTTTCCTATATTTGTTTACTAGGTAAGATGTCATTTTGGACTCCTTTTAATTCTGGATTCCTTTTTGTCTTTAGGAGTTGTACAGATGTTCTGTGCTGCATCATCTTCATACTGTTCATCATTGCCTACATTCTTTTAGGACTTGTGGGTGAGTAAATAAAGGTATAGAAGAGATTTAAAATTTGCTAATGGAATAACAAAGTCAATGTCACATTTTGAATATTAATCATTTTCTTCCCAAAGCCTTGTTATTATTGATTATTGTCTTTTCTGGAGGGAATGTGCCTCACAGGTACTCACTGGGTAGCAGACTCAAAGAATAATAAACACAAGGTAGTTCATTCAAAGGCAAGCCCAAATTACTTAAGTACATACAATTATAAAGATGGAAGAAAAAAGCTTATGGTTTTGGGGCACCTGGGTGGCTCAGTCAGTTAAGCGTCTGCCTTCAGCTTGGGTCATGATCCCCGGGGTCCTGGGATCAAGTCCCCACTCAGCGGGGAGCTTGTTTCTCCCTCTCCCTCTGCTCTCTCAAATAGATAAATAAAATCTTAAAAAAAACTAAAAAACTTATGATTTCTTTTTAATCATTTTTACGTGGGAAACTCTATTAAGCAGCTAATTATGTTCACATTGCTATTTACTGGTAGGCTCTAGGGCCTAGATTAGTTGAGGTAATATATAAACTTTTCTTTTTATAAGCAAATTAAAAAAAGGGAACAATTATTAAGAATTTCACCACATAATTCATTGACGTTTAAGAAGTCTTATTGTCTTTACCTACAAGGAAGAGATATTCTGTTATTTACTGTTAGGTTAAAGATTTTTCTTTGAAGGTGAAAATAAAGAGAAAAAATATACAAATTATTTACATTTTTTAAAACCTACCAAAGGATAGTGAATATTTTCTGTAAAAAAGGTTTCATAATTGCATTTGAATGTATCACTTTTTCTCTCTGAGACTGAAGTCCTGTTCCCTAGATGCTGGCTTAAGAAATTTTAATGTATTATTATGAGAGCAGGGGCTAGAAAACTTCAGTAATTCTAGTACCAATAATGAATGGGCTGGAGTTAGTGTGGACAGAATGCATAAGCAGAAAGAAGGCTGTACATACTGAGGAATAGTGGAAAATGCTCTTTCCTGTTTTTCAGTTTTATCTCCCAATAAGAGAAATACTTTGAGAATAGCAATTGAAAGTAATTTTCAAAAGATCATCTCAGCAATACCATGCAAAAACTATGCAGAATTGGAGAATTCAAAAAAGTAAGGCAGGAAGAAATAAAAATAGGGAGGGAAGAATAAAGGAGAATAAGCCACAACACTAAATAATGTTCTCTAAGACCTTCTGAAGATTCCTCTGGTATTTTTTTTTTAAGATTTTATTTATTTATTTGACAGAGAGAGACACAGTGAGAGAGGGAACACAAGCAGGGGTAGTGGGAGAGGCAGAAGCAGACTTCCCATTGAGCAGGGAGCCCGATGTGGGACTTGATCCCAGGATCCTGGGATCAGGATCTGAGCCGAAGGCAGATGCTTAACGACTGAGCCACCCGGGCGCTCCTCCTTTGGTATTTCTTCCAAGCATTTTAACTTCTCAACATTAAGGCAGTTGTAGCACAATACACAGTCTATATGTTGAATATTATAATAACATAAATTTTCTTATGTAATTAAAAGAATTTTAGCTTCTCTAACTTTGGGACACATCTTTCTTGTCTCTAATTTTGTTTGTTGGTTGTTTTTACTTTTTGTCGGAGAATTGAAATTGGTTGCATAAGAGAAAGAAGACTTGGAGTCAAGTTGATCTAGGGTTTCCTCATATTATTTGGTGGACTTGGACTAGTATCTTAACCTCATTTTTCTCATGTGTGAAGTATAGAAAGACTATCTACTTTGCAGGGCTGCTGTGTGGAGTAAATGAAATGATATCCAGGTACACCAGTAATGGTACATAAAAATTACTAAGCAGTATTTCATTTGCTATCATTGTGTAATCTAGTTGTTCTGAATTTTGATAAATTGCTTTTAAATGTAATTTCCTATATTGTTTCTATGGCAGCCCATAATTTTGGTTATTAAAGTTTGCATACAGGAACTTCATAAAGATCTCATACTATGCCTGGAATCTTTCCATCAGGAGATCCTATGGCATAACAAATAGTCTCCTCCATTTCTCAGGGTCAGTGTTGTAATCCACAGAGAAATGTGTTCCAGCCTTTTATAGAGCTGGGAAAACCACTGACACTCTCCTGTTGACACAGTAGAGAAAAGGGATGGGAGTGCACCCCTTCATTACCTCTGGAACAAGATAAGAACTTGGCCCCTTGGTTTAAGATCTCCAGATTCAGTTTATAAATACCTTAATTCACATAAAGAAATTGAAGGATAAATGTTGTTCAGTGAAAAACTGTGTTCAATATTGGATTTAGTGATTCTTCCAAATTAATCCTGATGCCACTGATTAAAATGAATGACTCATAAGATTTACTTAATATATATATATACACACACACGTGTATACATATATACATATTTACTATATATATGTGTGTGCATATATATGTATATACATATATACACACACACACAATTCCCTCATTCCTGAACTACAAATAGTCTAACTAGTCTAAGATAAACTTAACTCTTCAGTTGTGCCCTATGTTGAATTAAAAGAATGAAGAAAAACGATTAGCAGAGTTTACTAGGAGTGTGAAAATTTTTTTGACATGAAAGAATATATACCTTCACCTGATGAAATATGAGGCTGACTCAGTTTCACTGATGTGTTATAAGTAGTGTGAAAATCAATAAAAGGAAACCTTGTTTAAAGTAGCTCTCCTGCCTACCACTCCTCATTGATTGCAAATCCAACAGGAAGAGAGGTACCCCCAAGTCAGTACTACTTTACTTACTTGTTGAAAAATATAGAAGTGTTTTTATTTTATTTTCAAATTTTAATTCCAGTATAGTTAACATACAGTGTTATTTTAGTTTCAGATGTACAATATAGTGACTCAACAAGGTCAGTACTGATTTTGCTGCTACTTTACTCTCCCAGGAGGAAGAAAAGTTCTCTTCCCCAGCAACAGCCCAGCCAATTACCAATAAGAGACAGTCATAACTCAGCCAATGAGAAACCACTATAGTTGAAATTCCAGGTTACTCCAATTGACTTTTTGTTTATAATAGCCCTCTCAGCTTCCCTTTTCCCCTTTATAAAGCCGTGTTCCTCTCCTTTGCTCAGTTTTGTTGTAGCTTGCTCTGTTATTCCCGAGTTAAGCCCATTTTTACTGGTGAAACTGGCAGTTTTATTTTTAAGGTTCATAGTAGTTTGACATCTTTTGCCATTTTGTTAGATCAGGACCTTCTAAGGTGTATCTTTTGTCCATTTCTTTTTATAAGAAGTTTTACCATGAAAGAGCCATGTTTCTTGCAATTTCTGCTGAGGAAAAAAAAACCTGTTCTATGCCCTTTATGTGGAATATGGCCGGCTAGGGTAAAACTTGGATGCAACAAAGGCACTTGACATTCGGCTAATGAAAAGCAGAACCTCTGTTCAAGTGAGTAAAGTGGAGTCTGGGTAGAAGATAATCACATCTCCTTGAAAGATCAAACTAACGTTTATGATAATAGCTCTCTTTTGTCCCACTTCACTGATGGTTGCTATCCAATTATTGTACTAACTAGAAAAATGAATAGGAATGTTTATTATGCAAATTGTCCTTTGTTATCCTTGTGCCAACATTATACAATAGCACAATTTTAACATTGAATAAATTTTATTTTTCTTTATTTCCTCTTTTTAAAAGAATTTTAATTCCAGTATAGTTAACATACAGTATAGTTAACATACAGTATAGTTAATATACAGTATTATATGAGTTTCAGGTATACCATATAGTGATTCAACAATTCCATACATTACTCAGTGCTTGTAAGATAAGTGTACTCTTCTTAATTCCCTTCACCTATTTCACCCATCCCCCCACCCTCATTTTCCTCAATAGGTAAGAGTCTGTTTTTTGGTTTGTCTCTTCATTTTTCCTGTTTGTTTTGCTTCTTAAATTCTACATATGAGTGAAATCATATGGCATTTGCCATATTTCTTTTTCTTTTCAAATGTATTTCCAGTTGAGTGTGTTAGTTCATTGTTGTATTTACATACGAAGCACTTGGAATTAGGGTCCAAAGTTTGTTTTTGGTTTTGCTTTTCAGTCTTAGGAATAATTATTCCTATTAGTTGAGATGATAGGACATTAATACAAAGTAAAATAATATAAGCAAACTGAGAACTCTGACCGTGCTGTGAGAGGCCCAAGCCATGTGGAGAAGCCATGTGTAGGGGCCCTGATCATCAGGCTCAGCTGAGCTCCCAGGAATAGTATTTACTATCCACTTCGTAGGGTTTTCAGATAATTGAAGCTCTGTCAACATGTGACTAGATGGGCCCCAGCTGAGCCTTCCCCAAATTGCTGACTGCCAATTATTGTATTAAGCCAGTGGGTTTGGAGGTATAAAAATAGATAAGGAGAACAAAATTTGGTACCTGGAAGTGGGATGCTGCTTAACAAAACCTAAAACACGGGCACTGGTTTTTAAACCAGGGCATGTTCAGAAGCCCAATGGGTTTGGAGGAAACTGTTAAGAGTTTGAAGGAAAGTGAGAAACATGCACTTAGAAACAGGAGATGTTACATAGTGGTAACAGTTTGGCAACGCTCCTGCAGATGGTAATGTGGGAAGTAGGAAATGTACCTGATGAATTCAGTGATCTAGCGAAAGATCACGCTTAGGAGAGGAGCCAACCCTAAAGAGCCTCATCCACACCTGGCCCTGACTTAGGTGATGAGATCCAGACTTTGAACCTGAGCCTGATGCTTTAATTGGATGAGGGTTCTGGGGATCTTGGGAGAGTATAAACGTATTTGGTTGCAGAGGGAATGTAAAAAATGTGTGGCCAGAGGCTGGACTAAGGTAGTTTTAACACAGGGCTGTGACTTCTTTGACCTTCTTTCTGCCGAGAGGTGAAGCTTGGGATTCCCTCTTCAATAGAGAAATGAACTAAGCCAAATTAGACTAGTTAAGGGCCTTGATGTGCAAGTGATTTATAGATCAGTGGCAAAGGAATAATGGAAGGCCATCATGGAT